ACTACAGGGAAAAAACAGAGTGGAAAATTCAGGCATCCATAAGGCATCAATGACCCCAATACCCTCTCTCCCAGGAACCAGGAAAAGACTCAGGGAGAAAAGAATGACTAAGAAGGAAGGCTTAGAGAGGACAAAAGGAGGGTGCCAGGCTGGCACCTAGATAAGGATTGAGCAACAGGGTTAAGTATAAGACAGGGAGGAGGTAGAGAACAAAGGTGAAAAGTCCAGGAAGGGACAGGGCAAGGGGTGGGGAACAGTGGAGAAGGAAAATAAGTTGAGACAAAGAAACTGATGATCAAAATGGGAATTAGGTTTCTCTAATGACAATGTACACACATGCAACATAGAAATGGCTGACCAAGTGAAGCAGGCTAGGTCAGCCTTTAGCTCCTATTAAGGATTACCAGCCTATGAACATCACAAGAAGTGACACAGATGACAGGATGGACAGCAGAGAGAGCTGGGGGAAAGTCCCTGGAGACAGCCATAATGGGATGATGAAGCTGAGAGGGACACAGTTGTAGTAGAGAGAGCTTACTATAGGAAGAGAGATGACAGAAGAGGAAGACCATCTTTTTTGCTTACCTGGGATTGGCTTGCAGGATTTACCAAGGACCTGAAATTAAATCCAGCAAATAATTTCTGAGCATCTGTGATGTGTCAGGTACTCTGCTAGGTACCACACTGATTAAGATGAGTAAGCACAGGGCCTGCACCAGAGACTTCAGCCTCAGAAAGCAGCCCTATCATGGCCCAACCCACTACCACTAAACCCAAGTTCTATGGTTCTATACACTCCTAATGTCTCAAGGACCGTTATTTTTTATTATTATTTTTTAACTCACAGACCTGAGGGAAGAACTCTTAGTCCTTTTCAAATGATATCTGAGCCAACCGTCATCCCACCCTGAGGTTTCACCTGAGTTGGGTAGTTGACAAACTGTAGTGCTGAGTTGCTGGAGACCATGGCACCCAGATAGGAGATAGAACAGGCAGCATAGAGCCAGCTCCGGGTACGATCCACCCTGGCAGTGTCAAAAAACTGGATCACTGGGAGAAGACAAAAAAAAAAAAAAAAGACAAAAAAAAAAAAAAAAAAAAAACAAGAGAAACCTGGTGGGGCTAGGATGGACCACTAAGCAAAGCTGAAGCCACATGAAAGGAACTTGTCTGTCAAATAAGACACAAGCTATTTCTGTCCTCTTACACTGGGAAATCTCTGAAAATTATTCATCTTTCCAATTCTGCCTAAGCCCAACAAAAGACCACATGCAGGGTGGAGGTGAGGGCCTCATTCAGTTCAAGGGACCAGTCAGCCCTGCTGCTAGTCCCCAGGGAACAAAGAGAGAATGCTCAAAGCATGCTTGAAGCTGACACACAAAAGAAACTCAAAGGGAAAGAAAAAAATGTTTCAAGTATTTTCAATGGGGATTTGGAATACAGAAGACCCATTCTCTGAACATTTCTAACTCAGAAGTTGATAAAAATTGGGGAAATAATATTTTACTCCACTTCAAAGTCATTAGTTTTACAGACTTCACAGAGAGGCTGTGTGAGTACAAAATGAGGTGGAGATCATGAGTTAGCCTTTAAGGTTGAATCAATGTTTAATGCCTAGCATACTGAAGGAACTTGGGGTGATGGGGTACCCAACAAATTACTATCTAGGTACTCACAGATCTTGGCAAACACAGCATTGATCACACATTGAATGAAGACCAAAGTTAAGGCAAAGGTGAACGTCTCCTGTTTGGCTCCCTCTCCATACTTTCCTCTTGTTCTAGAAATGAAATGCATGACAAAAGAGAGGAAAATTAGTATATTTCAGTTACTGTCATCTAATATATCCAGAACCACTGAAAACTTTAAAATTATCTTGCCTCTCTGGATGTAGGGAGAGTTTGTAAGGACCACTAGGCTCATCTGCAAAAGGGGCTGATTTTACTGGATCTAGAAACTAGACATTCCAGCCTACTGATTCCATAGCCTAAGGAAAGAATACCCGAAAAAGACGGAGAGGAAACATGCAAAACGAGATAGTGAAGTCAGGTACCCCAGGCAGGAGGAGACGGTATTTGGGCTACAGCACCAAGGCCGAGGGCGAATAGGCTGTTTGCAAGCATCTGGGAGTACCAAAAGGGGGCCGACTCGGGTCCTCTTTGAGGGGTAGAAGTCTCAGCCTGTAAAACGCAGGCTCTTAGAACCAAGCAGGGAAAAACAGCTAAGAAAAGAAAAACCAAGTCCAAAGAATCCAGAAAATAACCCTGGAGTTCTGGAATTCTGGGTAGGTTCAGCCATAGCTGCAAAAGTAGTGGGGTGCTAAGAGGGCGACAGCCGGGCAGGAGGACAAGAGGCAGAAGGTCCAGAGGCAGAAGGCCCGGGACCCCTGTCACAGACTGGGGAGAGAATGTCGGCCCGCCCCCGGGGTCGCTCACATCTTTTCCTGCAGGATCCCATAGTAAAAATAGCAGACAAAGACACCCAGGAAGCAGAGCGGCAGGCGCAGCCGGTCGGGCACCAGGGAGCTGCTAGAGGCCATGAGACGCCCGGAGGAGCCGACTGGAGACCCGCTCACAACCGGCACCGGCAGCAGCGGCGGCGGAGGCGACAGATCCAGCCGGACATCGCCGACCGGCGGCAGAGGCCTCATAGGAGCTGCATGCGACCGCCGTCCAGCAGGGCCCAGCAGTCACTACCGGAACTGCCAGCTCAGGGCTGCCAAAGGAGAAACTCCTCAGAACGCACCAACCACTTCCTAGGAAAGAAAACCCGCCCTGGGACCTTGGCTCCATCCCTGAGGGCCAGGGGAACCGGCAGCCTCGAGACCATTTTCTCGACCTGGAGATTTTTCCAATCAGGCAACTCTGAGGACAACTGCGATCCAGAGCACCACAGGGTGTCCTAGAGCCACCCGGGCGTAGAATAATGACGTATAGGGATGTGGAGGCCACCAATTGGCTGCGCTGTGCGAACTCGGACGGGTAGGCGGGACAGGAGGAGGTGCGGCCGGCAGAGCAAATCCAATAGTCTTTTCCGCGGCGGGCAGCCAGGCTTCTGCTGGGTCCTAATGCCAAAATCTCTTACTGGAGCCTCAGCGCCGTCTAGCTGCTGCCTAGCGTCAGCGACTTTACCTGCTCATTACCTAGGCACTTCACTAGGCTTCCAAGGGGGAGAGCGGCACAGTAAGTCTCGGCTTGGTCACTTAAAGGCGGGGTAACCTACCCGTGTCACCCAAGTTCTGAGCCAGAGTTTTCCAGGTCTGGAAACTAGGGATAATTAGCAATAGCCACCTTGTCGCCTCTTGACTGTTGTGAGGATCGAATGAATTGAAGTTGGTGAAAGTGTTTTGTAAAGTATGCTGTGCAAGTTTAAGGTATTATTAGTCATCACTGTTTCTCAGCCCTGATCTTATTTCCTCATATCGAGGAGTGGAAATGGAAGTTCACTGAAGTCAGTTTTCTTCCAAGTCTTAACTCACCAACAATGGCTTAAACCCTTCGGCCGCGCTTCTGAATATTTCCCATTAATGAGCACCTCGTTGGATCCCTTCCTCATGCAAGTGTTGGGTCTCCACTTGCTGGCACGAATTGCCAGGGCAAGACTGACCTAAGGTCTTCCCACTACTACCTCCAACCCCCTACTTAACTGGCCCAAATCTCCGGCCACCAGGTGGACTCTGGGCTGCTCTCTAGGTCGAGGCTCCTTCTCTTCTAGCAGCCTGCTCTTTTGGCACAGCCTCGGGCAAAGGAAGGAAATACTGGGCAGCACCACACCCGTTGCTCTGGGCCTGACTCACTAAGGCTTTGCGGGGGAGCCAGAAGTCTTTTAGAGGGAGGGGTAAGGGATAGAAGATAGGGTCTGTCCCCAGCCCACTGTCTCCTCGATATTAGTGGCATGGGAATCCCCATACATTTGCTCTCTTGCTCAGTAGCTTACTCTATTGGCTCAGCCCGCGATGCCAGGGCACCAAATAGCTGGGCGGAGAGACCTGCCAGCTCTGCTTCTTTACCAGCTGGGACCTCAAACAATTCCCTTGTCCTTGTCCTCTGAGTCAAGTTTCCTCATGTGAAATTAATGGGAATATAATAACAAGCAGGAGAGCGCTGTGGTTAGAAACATGGGCACTGGATTCAAATGATCAGGTTTCCAATCCTAGCTACCCCACTTCATATCTGTGTCTTTTGGGGAAAGTTATTCAATCTATTTGTCCTTCCCTGATTATACAGTGGGACTTACCATATTTCTCTTACTGGGTGGTTGTCATATTTCAATAACATTTTATGTAAAGCACTTAACATGGTAGCTGGTTCTTACCAGCCCAATGAATGGTGGTTAGGATAGCCTGGTTTAGGAGTTTGTTGTCAGGTCTTATGAGGTAGATACAATTGTACTTATTATTACTGCCCTTGGGGTAGTCAACTGTTCACCCATACAATGGGGATATGTCTTTTGTGAAAATGCTTTGGAAATTATAAAGCATTATAAAGGCTTATAAAGCATTATAAAGGCTGCGAAAGGGTAAGAATAGTGTCTTTGTATAGTTTCTTTGTTCCCTTCAAGGCTGCACACTACGTTGTGGGTACTTCCTGAGATGAACCAAAGCTTCCCCCAAACTGTCGAGAGTGCCAGCCAGTGCAAAGAACACCCACAATGTCAAACTGTCTTCCCTTGGTCACCTGCTTTTCCTCTCTGAAATCCATTCTCCTTAGGGAGCTTTTTCAGACTCACACAAGAATGGCTAACTTCCCCAATGACTCCCTCACCCCACCTCTAGGACAAACCACACTCTTCATTCTGGACAGCCTTTTCATGGGTCTGTTGTTTATGTCCATGTAAAGTATGCAAGCATGGTGTCCAGAGGACAGGAACTCTTGTGTACAGCCATAACAACACCCAGATGTGGGAATTGAGGCTCCTTCTCTTGAAGACAAAGATAAAATGATCAGTATAATACCCTTAATCTCTACCCCTCTCCTCCTTCCCCACATATTTAACAGAACTTCAAGCTGCTGGGAATATTTATTTATTTATTTGGTCTATTAACACCAAGATCTGCAAAAAACAACCTCTAAACACAAGATAAGAAAACTCGAACATTAACATTCTTCAATTTTGTGTAAGCTCTGCAGTACGGAAAATATACAAACTTCAAACAGCTGCAAAAATAGTGTCTTTGGGAGAAAATAGAGTTTCTACATCGATACAAGAAAAATAGGCATTTTTCTAATCCAATCCAGCCCTGGGGCGGGCGGAGAGTATAGATTTGCCATTTGCCACCTGGAGGAATGCCAGCTCTCCTCCCCACTACCCACCTGGGGCTGGGCGGGCTGGCCTGCTACTTAAGACAATCTTTAGTCAGGGTGAAAGCGAGATGAAAATGCCACTTGGGAAAACACTTGTTTCCTCCCTCTGCCAGCAGCTGAATTGGTCAAGTGTTATGGCCCATTAGGACTGCTTTGGTCAGCTCCTCTAATGAGAGGGAGGCGTGGGGATAGGGCTGAGAGGATGGGGGATCTATCTTATGGTCTCCTGGAAGGGAGGGAAGGAAATCTGTGGAGTCCTCTCTCCTTCATTCATGGCCAGCTTGCTCTGTGACAAAAATAAGGGCCTCCTATACAGTCATTTGGACTGACACCCAGGGGTGAGGGACTCCAGACCTTCTGGGTGTTTTCCACCAAGTGAGGGATGTGGCAGGTACACAGGTGTGAGTTGTGAGCTGCCCAGCTGCTAGTGGAGAAGGCAGGTCCCATCACGTTCAGAGGGGCCAGTGCCCATCAAAAAGAGGACCCAAGACTTTGACACGATAAGTGAAAGAAAGTGCTCAAAGGCCGAGAGGGAAGGGCCCCTCCATACCCCATCTCAGGGGACCTGGGGAGGGACCTGCCACCAAGGCACTGGTCTCTATGGTAAAGTGGGGCAGGGATGGGACCCTCAGACCATCAGGGAGCTCTGGAAAAGCACAGACTCTTCTGATGGTGGGGTGCGCTGCCATGGCTCGAAGGGCAATGGGGAGGCCTTGGAGGCCTCCGGATCCTTCCGAGGTGGTGGCCTGGGGCTGGCCGGGGGAAGGGGAGACCCCGGGTTTGAGGGGCAGTTACGGAAGATGAAGCCCATGCCAGGGAAGAGGGGCTTCATCAGGCTGACGGGGCAGAAGGCTGAGCCGGTCGGGTTGAAATGGACTTTGTTCTTGTCAGGACAGGAAGTCAGGAAGGCCAGGTCAGGACCTGGGGACCTGGAGGATGAAGAAAGACATACAAGACACACACGTACACACAGAGAGAAACACACAGTGAGAGAGGGTGAGATGTCACAGCATCAGGGCAGCAGGGGAGCTGGGTCTCTGTTCAAACAGAATCATAACTTGACCGAAAACCAAACCCCTCAGCCATCTATTTTTAAAAAAATATGGCTAAACAACAGGAAATGCACTTTAGCTAAAAACAGGAGGGATTGAAGCTAGACAGGAAGGAGAACTTCCTGACAATGTGATTCAAGAATTGGAGACCAAGAAATCTTTTCATTCGAAAGATTTCATCAGTGGCCGGGCACGGTGGCTCACGCCTGTAATCTCAGCACTTTGGGAGGCCAAGGTGGATGGATCACTTGAGGTCAGGAGTTTGATGCCAGCCTGGCCGACATGGTGAAACCCTGTCTCCACTAAAAATACAAAAAATTAGCCGGGCATGGTGGCACGCTTCTGTAATCCCAGCTACTCAGAAGGATGAGTCAGGAGAATTGCTTGAACTCGGGAGGTGGAGGTTGTAGTGAGCCAAGATCTTGCCATTGCACTCCAGCCTGGGCAACAGAGCAAGACTCCATCTCAAAAAAAAAAAAAAAAAAAAAAAAAAAAAGAAAGAAAGAAAGGAAAAATTTCCTTAGTGAATGGTGTTTTGGTGACAAACCGCATGCCTGAAAGCAGAGATCAAAGACAAGTGACTTTCTAAGATTTTTTATTAACCTAAAGTGGGGTTTCTCAGCCTTGGCACCACTGACATTTTGGGCTGGATAATTCTTTGTTGCAGGGGTGGGGATGGAGGCATTGTCCTGTGCATTGTAAGATGCCTAACAGCGTCCCTGGCCTCTGCTCACTATCCCACTAGTACCACGACTCCTCCCCTCCAGCTGTGACAACTAAACATGTCTCTTGATATTGCCAAATGTTCCCTAGTTGAAATCTACTGACCTAAAGAATCTAATTGTTGGGCACATTTGAAAAGTATGGGGTTTTTTGTTGTTGTTGTTTTGTTTTTGAGACAGAGTCTCACTCTGTGGCCCAGGCTGTAGTGCAGTGTGACAGGATCATGGCTTACTGCAGCCTCAACCTCCCCAGTCCAAGCAATCCTCCCACCTCATCCTCCTGAGTATCTGGGACTACAGGCATGAACCACCATGCCCAGCTAATTACTTTATTTTTATTTTGTAGAGAAGGGGGCTCTGTATGCTGCCCAGGCTGGTCTCCAGAAAGGTGTGATTTTCAAAACTTTGGGAGGAAAGCATGGCAACAACTGTGAGAAAGGCAGCCAGACCTTATCAGAAGATCTGGGTTCTAACTCACCATGTGGTCCTTGTCATGTCTGTCTCACCCCCCTTTTTAATTTTAAGTTTTTAATTTTTTTTTTAGAGACAGAGTCTTGCTCTCTCACCCAGGCTGGAGTACAGTGGTGTGATCATAGCTCACTGCAGCCCCAAACTCCTAGGTGCAAGTAATCCGCTTGCTCAGCTTCCCAAGTAGCTGGGATTACAGATGCCTGCCACCACTCTAGGCTAATTTTTTCTTTTTTTTTTTTTGGTAGAAATGGGGTCTCACTGTGTTGCCCAGGCTGGTCTTGAACTCCTGGGCTCAAGTGATCCTCCTGCCTTGGCCTCCCAGAGTACGGGGGTGACAGGCATGAGCCACCGCACCCAGCATATCTCACCTTTATAATGTGAGAGGAATCGTCCCTCCCCTTTTGATTGTTTAGGAAGATGGAATGATAAAAGGTCAGGTCAGAGAGTTCCTGAGTAAGGGATAGCCCTGATTCCTTACTGTCTGGCAAAGCCTAGAGGGTGAAACAGCCCTAAGAAGCTGACGGTTTGAAGATCCCAGGTGAGAAGACAAAGGTATGGGAAGATGGTGAAGCTCTGCCACCAATGGTTCTCACCAATCAGCTTTTTCTTTTTTACTTTTTATTAAAGTATAATATATACACTCAGAGAAAAATGCACTCAGTATACAGACCGATAAATTGGTTACTATCTTTTTTTTTGGGACAGGGTCTCACTCTGTTGTCACACTGGAGTGCAGTGGTGCAATCTTGGCTCACTGCAACCTCCGCCTCCTGGGCTCAAGCGATTCTCCCACCTCAGCCTCCTGAGTAGCTAGGACTACAGGCACCCACCTCCGTACCTGGATAATTAAAAAAAAATTTTTGTAGAGAGGGTGTCTCCGTATGTTGCCCAGGCTGGTCTTGAACTCCTGGACCCAAGCGATCTTCCCTTGGCTTCCCAAAGTGCTGGAATTATAGGCATGAGCCACTGCACCCAGCCAATTACCATCTTAATTCCGGAATTCCAATAATTCCAGAGCCCAGGAAGATCAAGGTGTGAAGAGAAGAGCAGAGATCTGGCAGAGTCTGGAGAGGTGGAGGGTAAAGGCCCGTGTGCTGGGTGTGTTTGGGAAGGCCTGGCGTCCTAGAGACTCCACAGTGGCAAGGGCTTCTCTGATGGAGAAGGGTTTAAAAGAGTCCCACTTTATGGAGGGATGGGGAATGGGCAAGAGACAGAATGTTCTAGGTGTGTGCATGTACATGTCAGGAAGGTGACCAAGAGGAGACCCAGCAACACTCAGAGAACATGATGGCAACCAGCATGACCCTCAATACCTTGACTCCTCGCCTGGAAAATCCAGATGATCTTGGAGGTGACAATAGCTAAGAAGGGGGGAATGTGGCAAAAGAATGGCTAAACACACAAACTTCCTAATAGGAAAGTTGATTAAATAAAGAAACCTCAGTGAACTACAGCATTTCAATCCCAGCATATCTTAGAAAATCACTGATGGATCACCACCACTCTTTTTTTTTTTTGGAGACAGAGTCTCAGTCTGTTGCCCTGACTGAAGTGTAGTGGTGCAATCTCAGCTCACTGTAATCTCCACCTCCCAGGTTCAAGCAATTCTCATGCCTCAGCCTCCTGAGGAGCTGGGATTACAGGTGTGCACCAACACACCCGGCTAATTTTTGTATTTTTAGTAGGGGCTGGGTTTTGCCATGTTGCCCAGGCTGGTCTTGAACTCCTGGCCTCAAGAGATCTGCCCACCTCTGCCTCCCAAAGTGCTGAAATTACAGGCATGAGTCACCACGCCCAGCTGATCACCACCTCTTTTTTTTTTTTTTTGGAGATGGAGACACTCTGTTGCCCAGGCTGGAGTGCAGTGGCGTGATCTCGGCTCACTGCAACCTCTGCCTCCCAGGTTCAAGCGATTCTCCTGCCTCAGCCTCCCGAGTGGCTGGGATTACAGGTGCCTGCCACCATACCTGGCTAATGTTTGTATTTTTAGTAAAGATGGGGGTCTTGCTATAATGGACCAGGCTGGTCTCAAACTCCTGACTTCAGGTGATATGCCCACCTGAGCCTCCCAAAGTGCTGGGATTACAGGCATGAGCCACCGCACCCAGCCCACCACCTCTCTTAAAGGGTTAATGCAGGGGCAGGAAGTTAAATGAGCTGACTTTAAGGCCTCTTCTGGCATTGCGTCTATGAAAAACCCAAGACGAGCTACAGCTTAATTTCCGCCCACATTTCCAGGTTGTAATTACTCCACCATAATGTGGATTGAGGGAGGGTACAAGAGCCTAGAGTCTGCTGAAGCTAAGAGATCTGGCCTCTTCCCTCCACAGCTTCTCAGAGGACCTAGAAGTCTTGAAGGGAAACCAGGCAACAATAATAACAGTAACAAAACCTCTAGTGGCAATGGTTTTCTCTGCAACTCCTACTGTGGCTTCTGTATGTACCTTCGGCTACCACCATGGGTTACTGCTCCCTTATTTGAGATACAAATGGTGCTCTCAATGACCCAAACCCAGTCCCAGCTACATCTTCACTCGCACACCATGACTAAACTTCCTGACTGCCACTGAAACCCCAACTTCGTGTGAATCTGCCCTGGTGAGTATTAAGCTGGCAGCAGGAAATGAAATGAGCTCTTTGGTGCCTGCTAACGGGGACAGGGGCATTTGGAAAGGTTGGCTCTTAATTCTTTCTGCTAATGGGAGGGAAGTGTAAAGAAATCAACAGAAGAATGGCTTCTGAATGATCCAATCTGGTTTGGAAATTTTCCATAGTCCTTACTTGCAAGGACTGGAAATTTCTGCCTGGGAGTTCATGACACTTGAACCACTACAGCCACAGGGTGAAGATTTGACTCTGAAGCTCAAACTGTTAAGCTGTTTAGGCCCTCCATTCTACTCCAGTGGTGCTGAAACACTTCTAATCTCTGACAGAAGAGAAATACTAGTATGTTCTCCCCACACCCCCCATCTCTCTCTCTCTCTCTCTCTCTCTGATTATGGTCTAGCAAATTCTCACACCTTCCCCGGAGATGGAAAAAAATAGAAGAAACAAAGGGCTTAGGTTTCAGATATATTTTCTTTCCAGCTCCTGCTGCGCTTGTGGCTGGCATGTGGGCAGAGAGCAGGTTTCTATGGAGATTATGATAAGCAAAGATTTAAGTGCTCAGAGTAGGTAATGTCAACACGTTTGATCATGGAAAGCTGGCAATACCGATCATCTAAAGTTGACAACACCTCTATGACAAGAGAGAGTCCTAGACTGAAGAAGTCCTGTCAGGTGGGAGAATGTAGGCCCACCCTCCCCTCCCATACCCTGTCTACTTGGTATACTCACGTGGCTTCTTCAAACACACGCACTTTCTCACAGCCTTCTGGGGGCTCCCGTTTGAAGACGTAGCTATGATTAGGCCGAGGGGAGGCAGCAAAGGCAAGGACAGGAGATGGGCTGCCATCTTCAAGAAAGGCTGGGTGGCCTGGAGAGGAGGCTGTGAACAGAGCAAGGCTAAGTCTAGTGGAGATGAAGGGAAGGCCTCCACTTTTCTGGGTCCAGGACTGGGGTGTAAAGTGGCAAGACTGGGGACGCATGGTAAGGAAGAGGATAGTGGGTGTGCTTAGCCACTGTGATTATTATACTGTACCTTAAAAACCTTTGAGGCAGCTTACAAAAATACACAGTGTATAACAGAACAAAAAAATGGAGTTGAATGGATGGAAAGTTAAGATCTCATACCAATTCTATATTCCCAGGAGGTAGACTGGGACCGGAACTCCAAATCTCAGACTTGAAGCAATCCTAAATGCGTCTCTCTCTGCCTTCTTCCGAGACTGTAACACCCTCCCTGCCAACATACCACGGCTTCTTCCTGTCCACAGTCTTGAAAATCTATCCTTTCTTCCAAGAAGAGTTCTTCTCTGACTCAGAGAAGCAATCTTTACTCAACCCCACTTGTAGGATAAAATTCCTCTCCCTTTCCACACAGTGAATGTACTTGGCCTAGGTTGCAAATATTGACTTTATCTGTATTTATCTCACATTTATTCCCCTTACTCTATGCTCTATTTACCTATGTGTATTGTTAGATCATGCCCTTGACCAGCCTACCTCATGGGGTTGCTGTGACAATCAAATCAGACAATATAGGCACACTGCTTTATAATGTAAGGATCATTAGGAGGTAAGAATTTTATCTCATTTTCTCAGTGAAGTAGATAGGGCATTGTAGAAAGTAGAGATTTGGAGTAAAAAAAAAATCGGTTTTGGTCTAGGTCAAACTATACAACCCTGGGCAAGCAACCGTATTCTCTTACTTTGTATCACTCACAACTACTTTGAAACCATTGCTGGGAATGAGTACAGTGGACACCTGAATGAAGACTCGCTGCTTTCCCCTACAGCTTGCTGAACCTCAGCCCAAAAATGGGGATGGCAGGGATTGCTTCTTTGGATCCCAGTGAGGATTAAATAGAAGTATAAATGCAGAGACTTCATAAATTATCAATCAGAACGGGACGTATGGGACCATTATTATCATTTGTATAATGTGCAGAAGAAAGATGACTCATAAAGATATTCTAGTAGGGTACTGAGAATGCTGGGCCTGAATTGACTAGAGGTGGAAAAGGGAGTGGAGCCACTCGTGTGCCCCAGAGTCAGCCCTGCTGCCTCAGCCTCCGCAGCTTACCTTTGTCGTTGGGGGTGGATGCCAGCTCCTCGGCGGCACCCCGGTGTTCCTCATGACTGGCCGGGCCACAAGGCTGGGGGGATGCCAAGGACATGGAAGGAGAGCTGGCAAGGTTGCCAGGCTCCAGGAGGAGGAGGGGATGATCACAGCTGCCACTCTGGGGAGGAGCTGGGGCCCGGTGCCCATCAGGGATCTCAAGGATCTGACGGGAAGGACGGTAAAGACTCTCAGCCTTGAGTATTTCAGGCCTGCAGCAGCACAGTGACCCTGAGGGTATTCCCCTTGCTGCTGTCATTCTCTATCCGTAACATACAACCACAGAACACCATTTCCTCCAGCCATTTATTTCCCTGGCCACCCCTCAATCTAGAAGAAACTCCCTCCTGTTTCTTCCATAGCACTTTGCTCTTATCCCTAATAGCACTCACAGTCCAATGTATAATTACATATTCACCTGTAGGGCTTGATCAATGTGTTGTCCCCACAAGACTATAAGCCTCATGAGGGCAGGGACCTTCTGTGCCCTGGGCTCTAGGAACACAAAGATGATAATGTATGCTGGAGGGCACAATAGCGGCAAACCACCAGGAGCCTGTAAGTGCTGTAACCATTGCAGAACAAGTATGCTGATGATTAGCATGTATTACATACCTCCTCATCCCCTTTTAAACACACTCAATGGTACTTGAACCTGTAGCTCACCAAATTATGTGCATGTGTTTGGGTATATGTGAAATCCTGCATACATGCGAATTCAAAATCAACTAGTAGGTAAATCATAAACTGAGAAGTGTGCCCATTAGAATCATATTAATACTGGCCAACTGGCATTCCCCAATTAAACTGTGTCAATACAAAAGTGTGCCTGAGGCTGGCTGGGCACGGTGGCTCATGCCTGTAATCCCAGGACTTTGGGAGGCTGAGGTGGGCGGATCACGAGGTCGGGAGATAGACACCATTCTGGCTAACACAGTGAAACCCCATCTCTACTCAAAAATACAAAAAAAAATTAGCCAGGCATCATGGTGGGCGCCTGTAGTTCCAGCTACTCAGGAGGCTGAGGCAGGAGAATGGCGTGAACCCGGGAGGCGGAGCTTGCAGTGAGCCCAGATCGCACCATTGCACTCCAGCCTGGGCGACAAAGCGAGACTCTGTCTCAAAAAAAAAAAAAAAAAAAAGTGCCTGAGACCAGCACGGGGGCTCCCCCAGCTACTGGGGAGGCTGAGGCAGAGAACTGCTTGAACCTGGGAGGCAGAGGTTGCAGTGAGCTGAGATCACGCCATTGCACCCCAGCCTGGGCAACAAGAGTGAATCCCAGCACTTTGGGAGGCTGAGGTGGGCGGATCACGAGGTCAGGAGATCGAGGCCATCCTGGCCAACATGGTGAAACCCCGTACTAAAATACAAAAAATTAGCCGGGTGTGGTGGCACATGCCTGTAGTCCCAGCTACTTGGGAGGCTGAGGTGGGGGAATTGCTTGAACCCGGGAGGCGGAGATTGCAGTGAGCCAAGATCGCACCACTGCACTCCAGCCTAGCGACCAGAGTGAGACTATGTCTCAAAAAAAAAAAAAAAAAAAAAAAAAGGGCTGGGCATAGTGGCTTACGCCTGTAATCCCCCGGCACTTTGGGAGGCTGAGGTGGGTGGATCATGAGGTCAGGAGTTTAAGACCAGCCTGGCAAAGATGATGAAACCCCATCTCTATTAAAAATACAAAAATGGCCGGGCGCGGTGGCTCAAGCCTGTAATCCCAGCACTTTGGGAGGCCGAGACGGGCGGATCACGAGGTCAGGAGATCGAGACCATCCTGGCTAACCCAGTGAAACCCCGTCTCTACTAAAAAATACAAAAACTTAGCCGGGCGAGGTGGCGGGCGCCTGTAGTCCCAGCTACGCGGGAGGCTGAGGCAGGAGAATGGCGTGAACCCGGGAGGCGGAGCTTGCAGTGAGCTGAGATCCGGCCACTGCACTCCAGCCTGGGTGACAGAGCGAGACTCCGTCTTAAAAAAAAAAAAAAAAAAAAAATTAGCCAGGTGTGGTGGCAAGTGCCTGTAATCCCAGCTACTGGGGAGGCTGAGGCAGACAACTGCTTGAACCCGGGAGGCAGAGGTTGCAGTGAGCTGAGATCATACCATTGCACCCCAGCCTGGGCAACAAGAGTGAAACTCCATCTCAAAAAGAAAAAAAAAATGCCTGAGACTTCAGCAAAGGTAGCACATATTCTGCCTGGGAGTGGAGTCAGGGAGATGGCTGCGTAGGAGCACGCGTGTTACCAGGTAGAGATGGAGAAGGGGCAGGGAGCAGCAGGCACTGAGATGCCCATGCTGGTGCTGAGCACATGGGGAACAGTGAGAGCTGGCAGTTTGGCTGAAGATGACCCCTGCCTGTTCCTCCCAGCGGTGGGGGGGGCCCCTCTCTTTGTACTCACCACCACAAAGCCTGTCCTAGTGACACAGGTAAGGCCATTTGAGACTAATAAACTCCATTTGCATTCCTTTTGCAGGCTGGTGTTTGTATGCTGCTGTTTGCATAGCCATAGCCTGTGAGGCCCCAGAGAGCAGGACTCCCAGTTCCCCTCACCCAGGCCAAGTGAGGCACGGACTGTGGGTGCACTCAGGGTGCAGCCGCCACTCACCCTCAGCAGCTCTTCTTCTCCTTGCTCCTTCACAAACACCTCCTCCAGCTCTTGGTTGAGCCCTTCCAGGCTCCTGTGCAGGCAGGGGCTGAGTCGCAAGACAGGGGACCCTGAGGGGAAGCTGGGAGGGGACGCCTGAGGAGGAGGCAAATGACGAAATCACACACAGCCCCACCAGGCCTAGACAGTCATTCATTCTGACCAGGGGTAGTGGTCATGTCTACACAGCAGAATTGAGTGAATGAAGGGTGATTTGGGGACAGTTACAATTGCAATAGGTCCACTCAGTGTAGTTTTCTCCAAAAGTTTGAGCTTTGCAGAGTCTATTGTGTGCTGTGGAGTCGTTGCGTCTATCATATGGGGATGTGGGTAGAAGAGAGAGGGAGATTCAGAACTGTAAGAAGCCCTTCCAATATCACACAGCAAGACCAAGTTTGGACTAAAACTTCACAAGCATGCAGTGTGGTAGGGGGCTTGGCAGCTCCAAGATCCAGGAAAACTCTGCCCACATCGGGAGCCTGCATGGAGGAGAACAAAGGGGAGAGGGCTGGGGAGAAAACATACCCTCAGTGCTCCCCGCACTGCGTGGTCCCCTGGGAGTGGGGAACCTCGCTCCTTCTCTTTCCCACTGCGGCTCAGCTTTGTCCTCTGCAGTTGTTGCTTCAACTTGGAAATCTAGCAGCCCAGAAAGAGGAAGACAGAGGCAGATTAAGGAAAGCCAAAGTGCACTGGGTCCCTCTTCCAAGGAGTGGCTCCTGCCAGAGGCCCATGAAGATATATACAAGGAGGATGGAAGTTAATCTTCCATCTCAAAATAGCTCAGTGGTGTTAAAACTATGATGATCTGTTCCTCAGATGAGTTGGATACCTCACTTAACTAGATGGATTGGATTCCAAAAAATTAAAAATATACAACATGGAAACCATTTTGTCTTTTACAGATTCCAAAGACATGAACTACCCCTCTTTTTTTTTTTTTTTGAGACTGAGTCTTGCTCTGTCACCCAGGCTGGAGTGCAGTGGCGCGATCTCGGCTCACTGCCACCTCCATCAGATTCAAGCAATTCTCTGCCTCAGCCTCCCGAGTAGCTGGGATTACAGGTGCCCACCACCACCCCCAGCTAATTTTTGTATTTTTAATAGAGATGGGGTTTCACCATCTTGGCCAGGCTGCTCTTGAACTCCTGACCTCGTGATCCACCCGCCTCAGCCTCCCAAAGTTCTGGGATTACAGGCATGAGCCATCGTGCCCGGCCCTACCCATCTATAAATAGCAATGGAAGATGATGTTTCTGAATGCTAAGGGCAGTTCACTCCTCAGAGTACATTCACATCTCAAAGGCCCTGAGACCAAGAAGGATGGGGATATTCTCCCCTGTTTAAAGCAGACTACACTAGGAACAGGGATAGACACTCAAGAAGGGAATACTGGATTTCGTCTTGACTTTCATATCCTGAGACTATTACAGATTATCATCAACAATTTTGAATATTATCCCATCACATGTGCAATTCTGGACCTTCTTGCCCTCAACTGTTAAATGCTCAGGGGATGAAGAGCTATTTAAATATAAGCCCAAACTAAATGGAATTCAGAGAGTAGATCTGCTGCCCACAGCCATAAAATTTATGACTAGATCCAAGAAGAAAGAACTTTCCGATATGCTATTGTGGGTCACTCATACCACATCTCCCCATTCTTAGTGCGAATAACTTACTCTGACCATTGAAAAGTTTAAATATTTTTTATTTCCCCGTCTTAAGCTCTCAACGTATTCACTTCATATTTTCTCACTGTTCTCAGCAACAGAGGGCAGCAGCAACTTCTTCTTGTAAAGGGGTGCAGGGTGAGTCCTATCGAGTTGACCTTCTCAGAAGGTGCCACAGAGCATGTCAGGAGGAGCTGATGGGGACCCCTGGAATATTCCAGCCTACGGCTTTCTCCCCTTAACCTCAATGACTTGAGCACTCCTGAGGGAGAGGGAGGGCCAGGAAAAAGTGTTTGGGAACATTTCATTATTTTTCTCTTCTTTTGAAAAGAAGGCTAGGGCTGGGCACGGTGGCTCATGCCTGTAATCCCAGCACTTTGGGATGCTGAGGGAGGCAGATCACATGAGGTCAGGAGTTCAGCACCACCCTGGCCAACATGGTGAAACCCGTCTCTACTAAAAAAAAAAACAAAAAAACCCCAAAAATTAGCTGGGTGTGGTGGTGGGTGCCTGCAATCTAAGCTACTTGGGAGGCTGAAGCAGGAGAATCGCTTGAACCCAGGAGGCAGAAGTTGCAGTGAGCTGAGATCATGCCACTGTACTCCAGCCCGGCCAACACAGTGAGACTCTGCTTCCAAAAAAAAAAAAAAAAAGATGAATAGTTAAGAAGTAAATGAGACTGGGAGCTCCTAATTCCCAGGAACTCCCTCCCTGTCTTCCTCCAGTCTCTGAGCTGCTTATCTGGATCCAACCCCAAAGTAAAGCGAGAACAATGGTGGCTCCAGCCCTGTGCTTGCTGCTGAAAGGCACTAGCAGCCTCTGGCCAAGCCCCTTCCTAGCAGAAGGGTCTGGGCTCCTAAGACCTGGCCACTTGGAGAGTGGAAGTCAGCTAGGAAGGAGCCATCTCATCAGGAAAAGGCCAGGTCAAGACAGGAGAGGTGAGCAGTGTGACTCCACTGTGGAGGAGATGCATCACATGGTACTAGGGGATCAAGAAGAAGCCGCTACCCTAGGCAGGGAGTCAAAGTGGGTAGCTACCTCTTTTCGGTGGTCTGTGCTGCCCCAGGATGCTGAGCGCTTGTGTGCACAGGAGCTGGCACGCTCACCTTCTAGCTCTTGCCAAGACAGGGGCGTCTGCAGGGAGAGAAACACAGTGAGACAGAGCAGCTTCTTCGGCAGGCACTGGGGAACAGGCACACTGTTTTCTGGGTAGAGGTGATGGCCCTTTGAGCCCTTCTCTCCTCTGCTCATCAACCTCTGAACACTCTCAGTCGGTGTTCTTCTTCAGGCCTCTCCACCTGCACTGCCTCCTTCCCAGTTCACATCCTCCAGCAAACGTTCCCTGATGACCCAACAGGGCCAACCTCCTCTTTACTCTTTTCTGAGTACTATACATGTATGATATCCCAGTTATTCCAGCTGATCCTCAGTGGTGAGGACAAGTATTGCCACTCCTATCCCAACCAGCTCCAAGAGAATATAGGCTCAGGCTCAGGGAATCACTGGCACTCTTTATTCTCTCGCCCTCTACATGTCTAGCACAGGCCCAGGTTCCTGGGAGCTCAATAAAAACAAGTTAATATATAGGAGTGCATTAAGGGATTATTAACTGGCAAAACAGGAAAAAGGTCAACATAGGTCCCTTGACCAAAGCAGGGGACTCCTATATAGTGCAGTGCCTCATTTTTCCCTGCACATGGAGTAAGTGTTGCTCCCCCGACCCCCACCCCGGCTGCAAATAAGCAGGAAGGAGACATTTTCAGAAAGGAGAGAGCCACAGTTCTGAATCCATCCCTGATTCCTGATCCCTCTTGGCCTTATCACTCCTTTTCCTCCTGGGCCTGCCCAGCCCTCATAAAAACAGGGCCCTCAGTCTGCATCTCCTCTCCCTTGCTGCACCGAAGACAGAATGTCCAAGATGGAGGCAGGGAGAGCTGCACGACTACTTCCTGAGCCCCCACCCAAGGGAGGAAGCTGTTGGCTCTAAGCATGAGACCAAAGAGGCCCAGATCCCTCCCCACCACCAGTATCCCTACTTCCATTCCAAGGGAGGGGCCCAAGGGGGGAACGCTCCAGTGGAACCAGTTCCTCTCTAACTTCTGTGCACAAGCACAGGCTGCCAAAAACATGAGGGCCTGGGAACTGTCTCCTCCAAGAGATCTGCTGACCTCCCCCGAGAGGTTGTTGCAAACAGAAAAGGGGGAGGACGGGGAAAAAAAACCCAACTACTCGCCACCCAACAGCTGCTAAGAGGAGCTCGGCGGGGGAGTCTGAGCAAGCTTGTGAGAGCAGACGGCCGTATGTGACAGCTGCAGTGGAGAGGGGCCACTGGGGATTGGGGCTCCCTGGCTCTTCCTTCTCCCAGCTGCTCATGGATCAGCACCTTTACTGGGCCATGCAACATAGCCAGGGAGAGACAACTGCCCTAACTTTCTTGTTCTGATGAGCATCACGAGTAAGTAGGTAACAGAGGAATTGACAAACGCTAAATAAAGCATCCAGAGATCCATCTCCCCACAATTCCTTTCTTTAGGAAAAGGGCAGACGGCATATCCTTCAGGCCCAAATCTTCAGCACAAACCCTAAAGCCCTCAAGATGAAGCTGGCTCTGTCAGTATATGGAAAGCTACTTCCAAATGCCCGTGTCTCTCTAAACCAGGGTGCTACCAGACAAAGCCTCAGAAAAGGCTGGTGCATGCACTGAAAAGTGAGGAGGAAGCCCATCTCTCCCAGCCACCTCCACCCAGCAGACACACAAAGGATCCTCCCCTCAAGGCTCCAGGACCAACTCTAACGATCACTACCTCTGCTAATCAAAGCTGAGCCCCGCACTCCCCACGCAAAGCTGTTGTCCCTGGAAGGTGGCAGAGGCTATAGAGGGATGACAAAAGCTAAAGGGACAATTCTGCCCATTTCCCTTCCTCAGGGAAGATACTATACTCATAGGTGGGTGATAACAGAGAGGAAAAAACAGCCACGTTCAGGCTGCCATGGGTACTACTAACATCTCTTGCAAACTCTTCAAGTACCTCTTCTGGGATATGCGAGAGGGTGGAAAGAGAAATGCAGGCTAGCACAGGACTTTAAAAGATGTGAGGCTGCGGGTGGTGGCTCATGCCTGTAATCCCAACACTTTGGGAGACTGAGGCGGATGGATCACTTGAGGTCAAGGGTTCGAGACCAGCTTGGCAAACATGGTGAAACCCCGTCTCTACTAAAAATAGAAAAATTAGCTGGGTGCCTGTAATCCCAGCTATTCAGGTGGCTGAGGCACGAGAACTGCTTGAACTCAGGAGGTGGAGGTTGCAGTGAGCTGAGATTGTGCCACTGCACTCCAGCCTGGGCGACACAGCAAGACTGTCTCAAGAAAAAAAAAAAAAAAAAGAAAAGAAAAAGAAAGGGATGTGAAAATCATAGCAGCTAGGGTCATCTCCTCTCTCAATGCAGGTGACCCCCACCTCTCTCCGCTCAGCAACGTCTTCCACCAACCACTGCGTTCTTTGTGTAAACTATACTACTAAGGCCATTGCTTTGTGTCAACACCCAACCCTTGGCCATAGAATTCACCAGCTGACCCTTCATCCCACGGGCTCTCCATCCTTGGCTCTCTGTCCTCCCAAGCAAACCCATCTCCCTCTCCTTTTTCTTACCTCCAACCTCCAAGCCTGGTTTCCCAATCTAAGACGGCCTGCCTGGCCAACTATTCCCATTCTTCTTGTCAGGGAGCCTTTCCTAACTTGTCTGCCTTGGGCTGACTGCTCTTCTGCTCTCTGTCTCCTCCTTGCAGATGGGCTCTGAGTGTACATCATTCATGCAATCAACAAATAGTGGCTGAATGTACACTGTGTGCCCAGTACTGTTTCAGGCACTGGCCATACAACCATGTATAAAACAACACAAACACTTGTCCCTTCTGAGTTTATTTTCTCATTGGGGAGAAAGTTTAAACAGTGGTAAGTGCCAAGGAGAAAAATACAGCAAAGAAAAGTGATAGGAATGCTGGGTGGGGGATACAATTGGAAATGTCAGGGAGGCCCCCAATGAAAAACTAACATCTGCATAAAAACACGAAGGAGATGAGGGAGTGAGTCACGTGGGTATCTGAGGTAAGAGTAATCCAGACAGAGGGAACAGCCAGTGCAAAGGCCCTGTGGCGGCAATGAGCCTGGCATGTTTGAGAATGATAAAGAGGCCAGTGTGGCTGGAGCAGAGTGTGTCAGGAGATGCAGTGACAGGTTAAAAAATGGCTCCTCAAAGATGAGGAACCTATAAATGTTACCTTGTATAGTAAAAGTTTTGCAGATGTATTAAGGATCTTGAGATTATCCAAAATTATCTGGGTGGACCCTAAATACCATTACAAATATCCTTAAATAAGAAAGAGGAAGAGGGAGATTAGATGTATGCACACTGAAGAGGATAAAGCGATATGACCACAGAGGCAGAGACTTGAGCGATGTGGCTGCAAGCCAAAGAGTGCCAGCAGCCACCAGAAGCTAGAAGTGCAAGCAACAGACTCTCCCCAGGAACCTCTTGGGAGAGAATGGCCCTGCCAACACCTTGATCTCAGTCCAGTGGAACAGAACTTGGACTTCAGGTCTCCAGAACTGTGAAATAATACATTTCTGTGGTTTTAAGCCACTAAGTTTGAGGTAATTTGTTAAAGCAGCCTCAGAAACCTAATGCAGTAGGTTATTCTGTGTTTGAAGTTGTTGACATGCTGACATCAAGTATTTATTTATTTATTTATTTATTTAATTTATTTATGTGATGGGAGTTTCACCCTTGTTGCCCGGGCTGGAGTGTAATGGCGCGATCTTGGCTCACTGAAACCTCTGCCTCGTGGGTTCAAGCGATTCTCCTGCCTCAGCGTCCCAAGTAGCTGGGATTACAGGCACGTGCCACTACGCCTGGCTAATTTTGTATTTGTAGTAGAGACAGGGTTTCACCATGTTGGTCAGGTTGGTCTTGAACTCCTGACCTAAGGTGATCCACCCGCCTCAGCCTCCTAAAGTGCTGGGATTACAGGAATTAGCTACCGGGCCCGCCCAACATGGAGTATTCTCAAGGCAGGAGTGTACACAGGTGTGGACTATAGCCCCTCCTAAACTGGGAATGCCCAAAGTAGGGACCATGCCCCAGTTTCCAGTGCCCAAGGTTGGATAGGACTCCTCTTCTGCGTCTCACTATGGAGCACAGAAAAGTCACAGCCAAGAAAAGCTCCCCTTCAAAGAGCTAACCTGGCCAGGTGTGGTGGCTCATGCCTATAATCCCAGCACCTTGGGAGGCCAAGGCAGGAGGGCTGCTTGAGGCCAGGAGTTCAAAACCAGCCTGGGCAACATAGCGAGACCCTATCTCTATAAAAGAAATAATTTTAAATTAGCCATTTATGGTGATGCGTATCTGTAGTCCCAGCTACTAGGGAGGCTGAGGCAGGAGGACCACTTGCACCCAGAAGTTCGAGGCTGCAGTGAGTCATGATCATACCATTGCACTCCAGCCTGGGCAACAGAGCGAGACCCTGTCTCAAAAAAAAAAAAAAAAAGAAAAAGAAAAAACTAACCTTCTGGCCACAATAGGGGGGTCAAGCCATGCTGCTCAGTCATTCTAGATGACCCTTTGGAAGCAGGGTAGAGCTGGAGCTCAGCAGACCAAAAAGTCATGTTTGTCGCTGGGCGTGGTGACTCATGCCTGTAATCCCAGCACTTTGGGAGGCTGAAGCGGGCAGATCACTTGAGGTCAGGAGTCAAGACCAGCCTGGTCAACATGGTGAAACCCCGTCTCTACTAAAAATACAAAACAATCGGCCAGGCATGATGGCACATGTCTGTAATCCCAGCTTCTTGGGAGGCTGAGGCAGGAGAATTGCTTGAACCTGGAAGGCGGAGCTTGCAGTGAGCCAAGATTGAGCCACTGCACTCTAGCTTGGGTGACAGGGTGAGACTCTGTCTCAAAAAAAAAAAAAAGAACAAAAAGTTGTTTGTCAGGGGGAGTCATGTACTGGAACAGATTTGACACCCTGGCCCAGTGGGAGCAGCTGAGGGACAAATAGGGCAGCTTCTGACCATGAGTGGCATGGGCCAGCTGTGCAGATGATACTCAGATTATGCAAAACTGGATGTGGCCAGACCAAGGAAGCCTTGCCTGGGATTGAGATCCCAGAGCAACATGTGGAAGGACAGCTGGGCATGGGGGTGGAAGACAGTTTCCCAAAGAGCCATCTAATATAATCAGGAGGAGGGGTGGGATGAAGCTGAAAACCCTCCAAACTGGAATCTCTCAGCCTCCAGCCCAAAAGTTTCTACCTAGACTCCATGACCACAGGCAGCAAAGTCCTGGCCCTCACTGTCTCCAGTGACCTTGGCACCTGAGTAAGCTCCATGTGTGGAGCTGGGCTAGGCCCTGGAAACGTAACCCACTATCCCTGCACAGGACTCTCAAGCAGCATGGTGCCTGGCCTGGTGTGGACCATCAGGACTACGTGTTCAACTGAAATTCTGCAGGGAATCAGTCCCTTAGGTCTCCGGCCAAACAAAAAGGCCAGAAAAGGCTCTGAGGGTGGTCTGCTGGTCAGCACTGAAAACTGGCTGCAAGTGGCCAAGGCTACCATCTCTGGCCCTACAGTGACTATGCTACCCTCAGATTTTCCATCATGGCCCCATTTTCAAATGTTCGGTACTGTTGTCAAACTATGCTGAACAACTGCTCCTGTTCGCCAATCTGGAAAACAGGCAGTGTGCCCAGGCCCCCACACCCACAAAGAAAAACATTTTTCAAAGGTCCATGATGGTCAGACTGAATTGTGTGTCATCACTGTCGGGGCACTGGTTTGGGAAAATAGGGAGGATAGTACACAGGTAGGGGAAAGACACAGGAAGAGAAGTCTTCCCAGCGCGCATGCCTACCTTCACCTCTGGCCTTCCTCACACTCCATGTGGTTTGTCAAGACTTAAGCTTTTTTTTTTTTCCAAAGGGTAAATTGGGGCTAAAGAAAAAGATCCTATCGTAGAAGCTTCCCCACCTTACCTGGGGAATGCAGAGGGAATGGGGCTGGGGATGAGTAGAATGGGGGGCTGGGCTGGGCAGGGCAGGTTCCCAGAGTCCTGTCCGTCAGCAGGATGAGACCAACAGGGGAACTCTGCTCAAACAGTCATTCCAGCTGTGATGAGACCACTTCCTCCCTCCAGAAAAGTACAAGAAGACTCAAAGGTTTGCACAGCAAGAAGGAAGAGGGGTAACTGCAGCTACCAGCATCTACTGCCCTCACCCATCCTGGCCTGGGCCCAGCCACTAGGAGTGGCCAACACAAAGCAATCAGTGGCCAGCTCTAGTTTACCAACTGACCTGGTCATCTCTCCCATTGCTCAAAACATGCAGCTTCTCCAAAGCACTTTTTCCCCAATTACCATGTTCACACATCCTCCTCCCAAAAACAACCAATATCCCAAATAACATATATCCACACCCTTCCTCTTTCCTTGCTCCAAATATTTGGGTAACCCAGCTCTCCATGTCAGACTGTAAATGGCCTGAGGACAATCCTTTGTAACCACCTAAGATCTTAAAACACAACGAGGAAGGAAGGAGATAATAGGATGAGATTGTTGGCACTACTGGGCTATATTCAAGAACTGAGAGCTTTTTGCTCCGTCTTCTACCCTGTGAAGAAGCCTCAAGTCTGTGGCATGCCCAGCTATCTAGACAGCAGGTGTTCCATGCTTGCTGCCTAGATCTGAAGCTGGCTTGCAATGGGCAGGGCCCTGGTCTCCTCTCAGGGATTCAGACGAAGGAGTTGCTTAGCCTGAACCATAACTGCAGCTGCTGACCTCACTGCAAGGCATGCCCTGGGAATGCCAGGGCTGCTGGCTCTGGGTGGAGGGAGGTTAGGCAAGTAGGACAGTAGTAGTGAGTGCCCGCCAGTGAGGGAGGATGAAGCAGAAAATAACTACTACATTGGTATGACTAGGAGAGAAAGGGCAGGGGTAGGAACAGCCCCACCCCCGACTTAAGGCAACTGGGAAAAAGTTCTGGCATTAGTCTTTTTTTTTTTTTTTTTTTGGACACGGAGTCTCGCTTTGTTGCCAGGCTGGAGTGCAGTGGCATGATCTCGGTTTACTGCAACCTCTGCCTCCCGGGTTCAAGCGATTCTCCTGTCTCAGCCTCCCAAGTAGTTGAGACTACAGGTGTGAGCCACCATGCCCAGCTAATTTTTGTATTTTTAGTAGAGATGGGGTTTCACCATGTTGGCCAGGATGGTCTTGATCTCCTGACCTTGTGATCCGCCTGCCTCGGCCTCCCAAAGTGCTGGGATTATAGGCATGAGCTACCACACCTGGCTGTATTAGTCCATTTTTAACAGCTTAAAAGCTTTCAAGGACTTTGGTAGATCCTGCCACCCTCCCTTCCCTTACACCTTCTTATCTTCCCAGTCAAACCTCTCTTTCCTCTCCAGTCCTTTCTGGGTGATATCCCAGTGCTCAGTAGGAAAGGAACGCCAGTTACTTAGGAATATGTCAGGTAAGCCTCAGACCTCCACAGTGTAATACTAGTGTTGAAGAGGGTAGCTTGGACCAGGCCAGGGGGCTTAAGCAGGAATTTGAATGGAGCCCAAAACCTAGAAGCAGCAAATTCCCAGAAGACCAGGAATGAAAGATGGGTAGAGTGCATATTTTGGTTTGGATGCCTAGGTTGATCAGAATTCTCCATCTCCTGACTGCGGCCACAATATTGACAGGTTGCTAAGAGTTCCTCGAGGGCTGGAGCCCATCCCAGGGAAAGAGGAAAGCTGCATGGCTTGGCCTTGCCAGACCCACAGAGGCTCATCACTGACCTCTGTCTTGCTGTGGCAAGAAGCCCAGACTTGTTATATAAAAGATCTGGCCTGCAGCTGGAGCCTAAGCAAAAACACACAGCCTAGGGCCCATGCCTCTAAACCCAGCCAGGGAACATCTGAGGCCAACCCTGCTTTGAGTTGACAAAGAGAAAGCTATCTGAGGAGTGGGATGGTGACTTCCTAAAAGGTTGAAAGCAGGAAATGACAGAGGCAGAAACAGGTGGGCTACACAGAAGCCTGCCATCTGACAAACAGGGATGGAATAATGGGCTTGCACACTCAAAGGAATCTCAAGTCCTGTTCCTCCAGGAAGCCCTCCTTGACTACAAACATATCTGGACTAAGCACTCCCATCAAAAGACAAAGTTGTGTGTGCTCCCAGGCCTGTGAGGAGGAAGCATAATTTATCCTACTTGCCTTTTCCAAAGGATAAAGGGAATGGCAGTGCTCAGGGCTCCCAGGAAGGAAGCCTAGTCTCTCTCCTTCCTGGAGGGTATTCTCCTTTCACAGTCTATTTGTAGATCCAAAGAGGGCCATGATTTTAACTGCAGCAAATTCTTGTTGGTTCAAGGTGGGGTATTCCCATGAGAATTCCCCTTCTTTAAACTTCGCCAGATATTTGGCTCCATCTCATCCCTTGGCTGTCTGTTCACTGGCCCTCATAGAACTGGAATCCAGACTCATAGAGGCCAAATCTTGTCCTCATTTCCTTATTCTTCATTCCAACATGCCAGGAACAGTACTGGGCATTCAAACATTCACTAACGACATTTGAAAATGGATCGCATTAACAAAATAAATAAAGGAAAGAAACTGACATGATGTGGTCAAAAGAAGTACCAAGCACTTTCACGTGTCATTTGGCCATCATGCCACCTACACGGAGGCAGACCAGGCACTCTCCACCCAGTTTGCAAAGGAAGAGCTGAATTGCCTGATGTCCCCCAGGATGAAGGGCTGACTCAGACCCTCACGTCCTGGCCACCCTGTTTCTGCCTGTCTCGAAATAACTCATTTGCTCTGAAGATGAACAAGAGTGTGTTCAAACTGCATGAAAAGGGAGATTTGACTCTTAACAACTTAGCTGCTAAGAATGCAGTCCTGAATCAGATTAAGAAATGTCTGTATAATTTCACATATGAGAGGGGTTCCTGCTCAGTCTGATGCTAGCTTATCCAAAAATTGATAAATGAACTGGATGATCTGCAGAGATTCTTTCCAAGCTTGGGATTCTTAATGAAAAGGCTGTCTCAATGAAAATACTGAAGGAGAGGAAGCTGGCTCCCCAGTCCTTGAATGGGCACACTGAAATCCCAGACGGGGCTGCTGGCAAGGAAGAATTCCCCATTATCTGAGAACTTCCCATTCCTATGGCTCCAGTGGGATCTCTTCTGGCTCAGTGTACTTTTTGGCCACTTCTTTGGGAAATACAAACTCAATAGAATGTTGGCCTTGGTTTAATTTTAGCAAGGTAAATCTCATTTATTTTATTTATTTATTTTTTTTGAGACAGAGTCTCGCTCTGTTGCCCAGGCTGGAGTGCAATGGCGCGATCTCAGCTCACTGCAACCTCGCCCTCTGGGGTTCAAGCGATTCTCCTGCCTCAGCCTCCCGAGTAGCTGGGATTACAGGGGCCCACCACCACGCCCAGCTAATTTTTGTATTTTTAGTAGAGATGGGGTTTTGCCATGTTAGCCAGGCTAGTTTCGAGCTCTTGACCTCAGGTGATCCGCCTGCCTAGGCCTCCCAAAGTGCTGAGATTATAGGTGTGAGTCACTGCACCCGGCCTAAATCTTAATTTTTTAAAAAGCTAGAATAAACTCTAAAGTCAGCTGTTGATTACACCAACACAAATACTCAAAGCTAAACTGAAAAACCCAGATTGACTTCTCTCTTCCACCAGGCAGGTGGAATGCAAACTCATTTCCGTGTATGTTTACAAAGAAAAACAGGGTGGTAAATTAGCAGAGTGTGGTGGCAGGCACCTGTAATCCCAGCCACTTGGGAGGATGAGGCACGAAAATCACTTGAACCCGGGAGGCAGAGGTTGCAGTCAGCCAAGATCGCACCACTGCACTCCAGCCTGGGTGACAAAAGGAGACTCTGTCTCAGGAAGATAAGACATTACGTGGATAATATGTACAACCAAAACCCAAGACAAATTATCGCAATGATTTGAGGAAGACCAAAGGCCTCCTCAGCCAGCTCTCCCACCCCATCCTTATCCCTTATCCCATCAGGAGAGAGCTTCATTACCTGGGTGGCCTTGTCATTGGTGCAGCAGGTGAAGGCCCCATCAGCATCTCGTGGCCACTGGCCCAGAAGGTAGGAGCTGAGGATGGTGTCCAGGGAGAATGTACGCCGGACCTGAAGTGGCTGAGGCCTAGACACTGACTTTTCTGGGGCCACCGAGCATGGGACGCTGGCTACAAGAGAACACAGCCCGCACACCTTGCCATCAGCATGGAGGAAGGAGACGTGGCAATCACCTTCCTCCTCTAAGAGATGTGGCCTGCCTGCCCAGTCTTCACTCATACCCACCACTGTCCTAAAAGAATTTGAAGCAGCCTGAAACAGCACATATGGTCTGACAAGAGCTTTCCTGACCTACTCAGCAGCCTTTATCATGGGAAACAATTTATACCATTTTACTTTGGACTTGGACATTACTTTTTAAATGTCCTCTATCCTTTTCCTACCCCTAATGGACTATGAACCATGAACTCCTAGATCTCCACACTGAGTTTCCTGAGAGCAGCACTGTTTCCCATCATTAAAGATAAAACTCTAAGTGGATAAAAAACAAATTTTCTTCTGTCTTTTATCTCCTGCCCTTCTTCCTCCAGCACCTTTGCAGGGCTTAGGCACTGCACAAATTCATCCCCTTAACTGAAGGCCTCCTGTTCCTCTTCGTACTTCCTTCAGGACTGGTTAGCTCCCTGGGGAACCCCGGTGGCTGACATATTGGAACTACTTTCAATTATCGAGGATTGAGGAATCTAGTTTACGGAAACATCCAAATTTTTTGGTTGTCTCCTCTGTCTTTGATTTCTATATAAATGGGACAAAAATAAAGCAATTATAAATCCATTCATAGGTGGTGGCTCACGCTTGTAATCCCAGCACTATGGGAGGCGGGCAGGTCACTTGAGGTCAGGAGTTTGAGACCAGCCTGGCTAACATGGTGAAACCCCGTCTCTACCAAAAATACAAAAATTAGCCAGGAATAGTGGCAGGTGCCTGTAATCCCAGCTACTCAGGAGGCTGAGGCACGGAATTGGTTGAACCTGGGAGGTGGAAGCTGCAGTAAGCCAAGATTGCACCACTGCACTCCAGCCTGGGTAACAGAGGAAGACTCTGTCTCAAACAATAAATTAAATAAATAAATCCATTCATTTATTTTTACTTTGGTTAAAGCTTTCTAGAAGGAGGTAAAAGTTGAAACTGTGGATAAAAATGTAAGCGTACTGGAATCATTTGGAAGTTGCAATCATCTAAGTTGACCCTGTTTTCCATGGCCACATTCAAAACACTCTACTATCTTAAGATCTATGGCCGGGCGCAGTGGCTGATGCCTGTAACCACAGCACTTTGGGAGGTCAAGGCAGGCGGATCATGAGGTCAGGAGATCGAGACCATCCTGGCTAACACGGTGAAACCCCGTCTCTACTAAAAATACAAAAAAATTAGCCAGGCATGGTAGCAGGCGCCTGTAGTCCCAGCTACTTGCAAGGCCGAGGCAGGAGAATGGCGTGAACCTGGGAGGCGGAGCTTGTAGTAAGCCGAGACCACGCTACCACACTCCAGCCTGGGCAACAGAGCGAGATTCTGTCTCTCAAAAAAAAAAAAAAAAAAAAAATAGGCCGGGCGCAGTGGCTCAAGCCTGTAATCCCAGCACTTTGGGAGGCCGAGACGGGCGGATCATGAGGTCAGGAGATCGAGACCATCCTGGCTAACACGGTGAAACCCCGTCTCTACTAAAAATACAAGAAAATTAGCCGGGCGAGGTGGCGGGCGCCTGTAGTCCCAGCTACTCGGGAGGCTGAGGCAGGAGAATGGCGTGAACCCAGGGGAGCGGAGCTTGCAGTGAGCCGAGATCGCGCCACTGCCCTCCAGCCTGGGGCACAGAGCAAGACTCCGCGTCAAAAAAATAAAAAATAAAAAAAAAATAAGGCCGGGTGCGGTGGCTCAAGCCTGTAATCCCAGCACTTTGGGAGGCCGAGACGGGCGGATCACGAGGTCAGGAGATCGAGACCATCCTGGCTAACACGGTGAAACCCCGTCTCTACTAAAAAATACAAAAAACTAGCCGGGCGAGGTGGCGGGCGCTTGTAGTCCCAGCTACTCGGGAGGCTGAGGCAGGAGAATGGCGTAAACCCGGGAGGCGGAGCTTGCAGTGAGCTGAGATCCGGCCACTGCACCCCAGCCTGGGCGACAGAGCAAGACTCTGTCTCAAAAAAAAAAAAAAAAAAAAAAAAAAAAAAAAATATATATATATATATATATATATATATATATATAAAGGCTCTTTCTTTTAAACAGAACAAAATGCTTTCACATCTGTAGTAATCCCTTAATAATTCATGTGTATTTAGCACAGCAAAAAGAACTAGGAGGTATAAATAAACCTGAAGAACTTTATATTAAAAAGACACTAAAAGGTTGGCAGTTCCTCAAAAAGTGAAACATAGAATTACCATATGACCCAGCAATTCCACTCCTAGGTATATACCCACAAAGAACCAAAAGCAGGGACTTGAAGCATTTTTCACAATAGCCAAAAGGTGGGAGCAACCTAAGCATCCATGAACAAACAAATGCACCATGTCCATACTGTGGAATACTATTCAGTCTTCAAAAGGAAGGCAATTCTGACACACGCTACAATACAGATGAGGCTGAGTTAAGTAAGCAAGACAAAAGGACAAATACTGTGTTTTTCTTGAGGTATCTAGAATAGGCAAATTCATAGGGACAAAAAAAATAGAATAGACTTTACCAAGGGCTTAAGAGGAGGAGGAGGAGTAGGAGTTACTGTTTAATGGATACACAGTCTCTGGGATGATGAAATTCAGGTTCTAGAAGTGGACCCTGGTTATGGTTGCACAACATTGTAAATGTATGTAATGCCAGTGAACATAAGCTTTTATGGTTAAAATAGTAAGTATATATTTTACTACAGTTAAAAAAAAAAAAAAGAAACTAACATACCAATACGGTGAAACCTCGTCTCTACTAAAAATACAAAAATTAGCCAGGCGTGATGGTGTGCACCTGTAATCCCAGCTACTCGGGAGGCTGAGACAGGAGAATTGCTTGAACCCAGGAGGTGGAGGTTACAGTGAGCTGAGATCATGCCACTGCACTCCAGCCTGGGCAACAGAGCAAGACTCCATCTCAAGAAAAAATGAAAAAAAAAAGGACACTAACAACACTACCTCCATTCTCCAAATTCATTGAAGCATTTACATACATTTTGCCATAGTTGTAATCAGTAGGAAATGTGCTACATTATGTTCTGCCTGGTTCCACCTATTTCATATACCTTTTCCCATGTATTAACGATCTACATATTTGTTATTTTAAAAGACTGTATAATATTCCTCCAGGTTGATGCACACTAGTTTGCTTAGCCATTCCCGTATTTTTGTCTTTTCTTTTTCCTTTGTCTTTTTTGAGTCAGGGTCTCGCTGTGTTGCCCAGGCTGGTCTTGAACTCCTGGGCTCAAGTGATTCTCCTGCCTCGGCCTCCCAAAGTGCTGGGATTACAGGCATGAGCCACCACACCCAACCCATTCCTGTATTTTTGAACATTTGAGGGATTCCTCTCCAATTTGGATATCAAAAATGTTACTATATGGCCAACTTTTACTGTGTGTTTTTATCTAATCCCTGGCATAGTTCTACATCATCTCACTCAGCCATCATATATGTGCTTATTTAAAACAAGTGAATAATTTGGCCGGGCGCGGTGGCTCAAGCCTGTAATCCCAGCACTTTGGGAGGCCGAGGCGGGTGGATCACGCGGTCAGGAGATCGAGACTATCCTGGCTAACATGGTGAAACCCCGTCTCTACTAAAAATACAAAAAACTAGCCGGGCGTGGTGGCGGGCGCCTGTAGTCTCAGCTACTTGGGAGGCTGAGGCGGGAGAATGGCGGGAACCCGGGAGGCGGAGCTTGCAGTGAGCCGAGATCACGCCACTGCACTCCAGCCTGGGAGACACAGCGAGACTCCGTCTCAAAAAAAAAAAAAAAAAAAAAAAAAAAAACAAGTGAATAATTTATAACTACAACAGTAAGTGTGAACTGTAGAAAAGTCAGGAAATATATAAATATAAACAAACAGAAAAAAAAAACCCTCAACTCTCAACACCCAGAGATAACCAATGCTATGAGAAATATAAACTTACAGGTCTTACCTCTTCTGTGTGTGTGGGTGTGTGTGTATACATGCTTTACAATTTAAAATGAGATCATACTCTACATATTGTTTTGGTATATGTTTTTACCTTATAAACATCTTTCCAAATCAATATATATTGATGTAAAACACATCATTTTAAATGATCTTAACATTCCTAGATTAAACCTCTTCAAAGGCTCTCTTTCAAAGATGGAGGTAAAGCCTTCATGTGGTCCCACTTACCTGTCCTTTACACCTCACTCTTCCTCAAAGTCGCTAAATCTCAGACAAACTATACTGCATACCATTTCCCACCCATGTCCCAAGCCTTCCCTCCTCTGAGGTTTTGCATGGGCCCAGGGTTAAAATCTGTTCGTCTGTCAGGACCAGCCTTACTGCCTCCACTCCACCAAGCCTTCTGCATCCACTGGAATCCCCTGGAAGCAATGTCTTAGAATTTTCTGTTTCCTCAGTACTTTGTACTCTTCTAGTAATGAGCACCTTCTCTTAAGGAATAGGGTATTTGTAACTCAAACAGCCTGAGGCCAAGGGCGGGCTCTATGTATCCCCCACAATGTCTAAAGCATAGGGCTGGCAATTGGCAGGCACCTAAGTATTTGAATAAAATTGAAAAACCTTCACAAGAAGGGTCAACTGGCTCTACTTTTACCAGGGGTTCTGACTTTGCATGCGTGCTTAACACACCCACTTGGGGTAAAGATCCCATAGCTGCTTGTCTTTTTTTCTCTCTCTGAGGCTCAGGAAGGCCCAACCTTTCTTACCCTTCCTCCAACCTTGTTGCCTAGTAAGTTGGTGACAGGTACGCTGGGTTAAACGTGCAACTTTATCTCTACACCAGCATTTCAACCACTCATTTTCCTAACCTGGGTTTAAAATCAAAAGGTAGCAATCCAGATATTTCTGGGAGCTTCTGACCCACATCAGCAGCCAGCTCAGGCCAAAATGCTGTCCTCCAAAACTGTCTGTTAGAGTCCAGTGATGAGGCAGGGACTCTAGAAAGCG